ATTTTGATTGCTGCTACCTTGGGGCTGCCTGGTTGGCTCCACACAGGCTGTTCTATAAACTACACCAAAAACATTTCGTGAACACTTCATCTAGGCCATCTGACTTTTTCAGTCTTAATTTAGTTTAAAGTCTTCCTGATTATTGCTGTACCTTCCTCACTAGCTCGCATTAGTTATTCCTTTAATCTCTAGCCTATCATGTGGTTACCACTACGGAGGCTATACACAACTCCCTTAAATGACTTTCTGCCTTTATCATTTCACATCTCTCCACAAGCTGCTTCTGTATCCAGATATCCTGAACTTAGGTCATTTATCCGTATTGTGCTAATACTATCTTTCATTAACAGAGCCACCCTTCCATCTTTTCCTAGCTTCCTTTCCATCCTAAATGTCATTTTCAATAATTAGGTCCCAGTTAAAGTCACCCCGCAGTAGTGTGATGATTATCAGAATGTTCAGGTAATAATTCAGAGGTTATGACCTTTGACGTTCTGCTTCTTAAACCTCTTCCTTTTTCATACCTATGTCATTGGTATTTGCATGGACCATTATCCTTTGAACATAAGAATGAAGAACAGGAGTAGGCAATTCAGCCCCTTGAGTCTGCTCCGCCATTCAACATGATCATGGCCACCCCATCTCCACCTCTTCTCTACCTTCCTGCCCACTCTCCATAACCCTTCAACCCATTACTAGTTAAAAATCTATCTCCTCTCAAATTGATTCAATGTCCTGGCATTCACCACACATGAATTCCACGACCTTTTGACAATGGAGTAATTTCTCCTGACCGGTGTTTAAAACCTATTACTCCTTGTCCAAAAACGATGCCCACTTGTTCTAGATTGCTCCACAAGAGGAAACACCCTCTTTACAACTATGTTTTCAATCCTCTTTAGCATCTTAAATATATCATTTAGATTTAGTTCTCAATCTTTTCTCATTAGAAATGGATTCTCTCTCTCCACACTGTGTAGATCCCACATGATTTTGAATAATCTCTCAATTTTCTATTCTTAAGAACAACCGCAGCCTCATCTGCCTTCCTCTATTGATGAATAAACAATATACATCAATTATTGTTCCAAGGGTCAGCTGTCATCTGGAGCCCTCTGTGAAAACTTACACCACACAGAATTAAAGTAGTTTGCAGGGACGTGCACTTTTGCAGTCAGGCACAAAGATATCTCTGGTTTCAACAGCAGACAACTTATACCTTAATGGAGCCAGCTTAGCTTCAAAGCTAAAAAAAGGCAATTTTCATCCTATACATTTTAGGCATAAAATCAATTGCAGTTTCATGATCCAGGGAGATCAGAAAATAAAAGTTCACATTGCATCAAACTATATCTTGTTAATTTGTGCAGTTTAGGCAAATACCCCCAGTTGATAATTCAAAGCCTGCACTTTGTTCACTCCACCTTTGTGAGAAAATTTCACTTGGTACCTCACATATTTCAATTAGGCATGTATTTCTGTTATGTTCAATGAATTATGCAATTACAAAACTAAATTGGCAGAAAAAAATAATCAAGAAAAGTAAGATCTGCTTATAGAAGAAGCTGGTGATGCTGAAATCGAACAAATGTATCGCGTAAAAACTGGGACACATCCCGAAAGCTGAATTTAACTGAGTACATTTGTAGATTAGACCAAAGTCATTCACTGATCTACCCAAGATTTTCTACATATGGGAGACCCACTGCTATATTATAGGTTCTATCCAAATTATGCATCTTATTACTTTAGTTATAGCTGAAATATGAAATTTGAGAGTAATTATTTTTTAAGCTTGAAACAGCAACATTGCCCCAGTGATGGAATTGATAAGAAATTATCTATATCAAATCATTATAATGATACATTTAACATACGTGTTGAAGGAAACAGGATCCTATTTCACTCAGGTGAGGCTCATCTTTGTTGAATAGCTTCTCCAAGTCCTTCAAAAATTTCCTTTGGAATTTATAAATATCTTCAATATTCCCAAATATGATACCTAACTGTGCTTCAGCAAACATGCCTGTATGTTTGCGACATTGACGAATATATCCCTAAAAAGTCAAATGAAAGATAACTTGTAAACAATTTACATAGCATATCAAATAAAACAGAAAACAGTGGTTCCAAATGCTCTTGATCTTTCATGCAAGATGATTTGAAAAGTAAATTCTAAGGTTTGGTATGTCTATTTAACTTCACACAAATGTCAGCCTTAATCAATTATTCAAAACTCACTAATTAATAATATACAGCTGTGCAAAGTGTGACAGAGCTGACTAATTATTAACAAGGCCTCCTTAAAGGAAATAACTCAGCATCACAACTTGTTGTAATTCCTAAGAAGGAATTCTCCAAGAAGGAGCTCACCACCACCTTCAAGGGTAACTAGGGATGGCTCAGGCTACAATGTTCACATCTTATGAAATAAATTTTTAAAAGTTTTGAAAATTATCAGATGTACAATTTGGCAAAATTCATTGTCTTTGTACACAAACTCAGTACAACTAATGTGACCTTTATTTAAGCAGATATATTAAACTACAATTCGGAAATGTCAATATTTTGCAAAGAAAAATTTCCACTATTAGAAATCTTCACATAAATGCATCCCAGCTTCTTTAAAGTCTATTTTCCCAATTTACTGTTGCTTTTGAATGTGAGCTACCCCAACAATGTGTCTTAAAATCTTATGCCAGTCTTTTTTTGCTTGTAAGGTATAGTTTTAAATTTAACTACTACCAACCAATTACTTGCATTATTATTGCTACTTATCACCAATTTTTAGGGCTTAACCCATCGAGTCTACTCTGCCTTTCTTTGAGATCACGGCTGATCTGATCATTGTCAACTTCATTTTACTGCCTTTCCCTCATAAACCTTAGATTTTTAATCATTAAGGGAATCTATCTTAATCTTGAACATACTTAAAGGCCCAGCCTCGACAGCCTTCTGCAGTAAAGAATTCCACAGATCCACATCCCTCAGAAGAAATTCCTCCTTATCTTGGTCTTAAACGAGTAAGCCCTTACACAGAGATTATGCTCTCTGATCCCAGACACTTCCACAAAGGGAAACAACTCTATGCATTTACACTGTCAATGGCCTCAAGAATCATCTCTATTTCAAAAAAAGTCACCCCTCATTCTTCTAAAACAGGCCCAACCTACACAACCTCTCTATATTAGACAGTCCTTTTGACTCATGATCGGTCTTGTGAATCTTCCCTGAACTGCCTCCAATGCCAGTATAGCTTTCCTGAGATAAGAAGCCTAAAACTGTTCACAATATTCCAGCTGTCTGCTGTCTTGTAAAGTTTTAGCAAAACTTTCCTGCTTTTACACTCAATCCCTCTTGAAATAAAGGTTAACATTTCATCTGCCTTTCCTATTACCTGCTGAATCTGAATGCTAGCTTTTTTCGATTCGTGTAGTAGGACTTGTATTATGTATTAGGACATTTTGGGGTCAAAGTAGGCACCAAAAAATGCAATTTTCCCCTTATCTTCACTTCTTTCGTTGTAATCTATTTGGGCAGTTTATTGCCCTGGTCTCTTGGTTTATAATTCAATAATGCTCACATGCTTTTGGGAATTGCAGAGAGGAAAGATTTGGAAATCACATCCCTCTGCTGGACCTTTTGGATTGTGTCTCTATTTCATAGGAAATGGGAGCAGGAGTAGAACATTTAACTCCATCATTCAAATACATTATGCCTGATCTTCTACATCAACAGCATTTTCCTGCAGTATCCCATTTCCCTTGATACCAACTAATCTTTCAATCTCTGCCTTGGGCATAAAAAGAATTCCACAGATTCACCACCACCTGAGTACAGGATTTGCTCATCATCTCAATATTAAATGAGCTGCCTCTTATTCAAAGGCAATACCCCCCAGTTCTATATCCCTGTAAGAAAAACAAATTTTGTATGCTTCAATGAGGTAATCCCTCATTCGTCTAAACTCTAGAGATTACAGTCACCTCAATCTGTCATCACGGAATAATCCTGCAACCCAGGCAACAGTCTGGTCAACCTTTGTTGCACTCCCTTTATGGCAAACATTCTAGGATTCTACAAAAGTCAAAAAAATTGGAAATTCAAATATGCTCCAGCTGTGAAATAACTGAGCTTTCTGCCAATTTCACAGAGACATAGAAAGTAGGAATAGCAGCTCATTCAGTCCTTTGACCCTGTTCTATCATTCAGAATGGTCATCCAACTCAGTACCCTAGTCCTGGTTTCTCCCCATACACTTTAATCCCTTTAGCCCCAAGAACAATATTTAATTCTGTCTTGAAAACATTTAATGTTTTGGTCTCAACCACATTCTGTGGCAGAGAATGCCACTGGCACACTCCTCTCCGGGTGGAAAAAAATCTCACCTCAGTCTGAAATGGCCTACCTGTGACCTTAAAGCATGATCCTTGGCTCTGGACTTCCCAGTCATTAGAAATATCCATCTGTTTACCCTGTCTAGACCTGTTACAATCTTACAGGTTTCTCAGAGATCTCAGTCATTCATCCAAACTTCACTGAATGCAGACCAAACCAGTCCAGTCTTTCTTCATATGCCAATTCTGCCATCCTAGGAATCAGTCTGGTAAACCATCGCTGCATTCACTCCATAGCCAGATCCCTCCTCAGGTAAGGTGACCAAACTGCACAAACTACTCCAGGTGCGGTGTCACCAAGGCTCTGTATAATTGCAGCAAGACAGCCTTACTCCTGTGCTCCAATCCTCTCAAAATGAGGGAAAACATACCATGTGTCTTCTTCACCACGTCCTAGGGGAGGTGATGGCCCAGTGGTATTAGCACTGGATTATTAATCCAGCGATCCAGAACGTTCTGGGGACCAAGTTCAAATCCCACCAGTGCAGACGATGGAATTTGAATTCAATTTAAAAAAAAGAGTCTGGATTTAAGAGTCTAATAATGACCATAAATCCATTGTCAATTGTCATAAAAACCCATCTGGTTCACTAATGTCCTTTATGGAAAGAAGCTGCCATCCTTATCTGTTCTGGCCTACATGTGCTCTACACCCACAGCAATGTGGTTGACTCTTAACTGCCTTCTGGTACAGGTAATTAGAAATGGGCAATAAATGTTGGCCTAGCTAGCGATGCCCTCATCCCATGAATGAATAAAAAAAACAAACCGTTCCTGCATGCTTAGATTCAGATGATTGGTGTACAAGGACACCCACATTTCATTGCACTGCTCCCATTCCTAATCTATCAGATAATAACCCATCTTCCTATTTTTGCTACCAAAGTGAAAAACCTCACATTTATCCACATTATACTTCATTTGCCGTGCACTCTGCACACTCATTCAACTTGTCCAAATCACAATGAAGCATGTCTGCATCCCCCTCACAGCTCATCCTCAGATTTGTGTTGTCTATAAACTTTGAGATATTACATTTAATTCCCTCATCTAAATCATTAATATATATTTTGAATAGCACTGATCCCGAGGTACCTCACTTATCATGCCTGCCACTTGGAAAAAGACCAGCTTATTCTCAATTCCAATCTGCCATCCATGTCAGGAAACTACTCCTATTACATGTGGTTTAATGTTACATGCTAATCTCTTACGTGCAACTTATTCAAAACTTTCTCAAAGTCCAAGTTAAATGACATCCACTGGTTCTCCCTTATCAACTCTACAAGTTCAGTCTTCAAAAATTTCCAGTATATTTGTGAAGCATAATTTCCCTTTTATAAATCAATGCCAGCTCTGTCCAATTCTGTCACTGTTTACCAAGTGCTCTGTGTTTAAACCTTTTATAGTAGACTGTAGCATTTTCCCCAAAATGTCAGGCTAACTGGTCTATAAATTCAGTTTTCTCTCTACCTCCTTTTAAATAGTGGGGTTACATTGATTACACTCACATTCATAGAAAGTATTTCAGAGTCTCTGGAAAGTTAGAAGCTGTGCAACAATGCATCCACTATTTTTTCCTTTAATACTCTGGGACGTAGATTATACAGTACAGGGGATTTATCGGCCTTGAATCCCACAAATTTCCCTAATACCATTTCCTTGGTGATACTGATTTCCTTCAGTTCCTTGCTTTAAATAAACTCTTTGCTCCCCTACATTTTTGGGGTGTTATTGGTATCCTCTTATGTGTAGAAAGGTTCAAAATATATACTTAATTGGTCTCCATCTCTTTATTCCCCATTCTAACTGCCCTACTTCTGATTGTAAAGGACCTACATTTGTTTTCACTAAACGTTTCCTCTTCACATACCTATAGAAGCTTTTGTATTCAGTTTGTGTGTTTCCTGCAAACTTGCCTTCGTACTCTATTTTCCCCTCTTAATCTATCCAGTTGGCCTCCATTGCTGCAATCTAAACTGCTCCCAATCCTTAGATCTGCTGCTCTTTTTGGAAAATTTATATGCTCATTCTTTGGGTCCAAGACTTTCCCTAATTTCCCTCATAATCCATGGTTGGACCATCTTTCCCATTTTAGTTTTGTGCCAGACAGGAATGAATGATTTTTGCTGTTCATCCATGTGCTCTTTAAATGTTTGCCATTGCCTATCCAGCATCATCCTTTTAAGTAAACTTCCCCAATTCAGAACTGCATTTTTGCAGTACCTCACAGATGTCTTTCAGATGCTTGATATAGACTTTTTCTGTGTTCATGATCTCTTGGATAACATTTGCTCGCATCTGCCTCTGATTTTCTGTATTTTTGAGTAGGTGCTTACTGCAGCTGGCATTCAGTCGTTCATCCGCAAACTTTCCAGTGCATTCAGCTGCAGCATCTTCCTGGTTCACTCGTAGCTATTAAAAGTAATAAAGTATTTAGGAAATCTGTCTGCTACAGTAACATATTCAGACCAGAAGAACTCCCATTCCCCTTTTAGTATAGTGATTTAAAAGTAACTATAAATTCTAAATTATGCATGCCCATGCCTATTCTTTCTTCAGTGCTCCTTGTGAATGCTACTAGAATTCATGTTGTAAATGGTTTGTTGCATTCCTCAACACATCATACAGATCTAGATGGATTCTCCTTTATTGTCCTTCTGCCTGATCATGATAGCCCTATAAATGACAAACACTTCAGAATGGATCAGATTATAATTTCTCTCATAATAAATTGAAATGCTCGAGTAAAATTTAGCAATTATTAATGGCAAAAAAAAGGAACTGGATTAAACCTATCTAGTTTACTTGAACTGTTGTACTTAATAGGCCACAGTCACTCACTGAAAGCAAGAAATAAGATACCAACAATTTTCAAAAAACATCAAAGCTATTTAGTTGAATTAACCGGCAGCAAGTAAGTAAAACAGTTTCGCACTAAAGGAGGGGGGGAAAATCTCTTGCCTTTTCAGATTTTTGGACATTGATTTATATCTTTTTCTCAAGTCAACTTAATACTAAATAATACTTAATAGTACTTAATACTAAATAAAATTGGCGTCTTTAAATAGAGCTTGGAGCAAATCCAATATGCTGCACATAATTTTGTCTTTGTGAAGTCCTTTTTTTGACAGTGAGCAACTAAAATAAATAAATTATTGTGATAGAACAAATGATTCAAAGTGAATATATTTATAAGTGACAGTTGATATACAAAGTTTAAGTATTTGTAAAGTTGTGCAACGTGTCATGAAGGTGCTTCCATTATTTGCGCTTAAAAGATTATCCAAATTACTTAATTTAAAAGACTGAAGAGATAGTTGGATTTGTTCCTTTTTTAAAAAAGGTTACAGGAATGACACATTGAATCTTAAAAAAAAATGATTGAAGAGACTCCAAAGCAAAGTAAATAGCTGGAGCTTACAGACTATGGAACTTCTTGGACTTGTTTACAAATAAGTCATATTGAAATAACTTTAGAGGCTGGTGTCCCATCACCAAGTCACATGAATTCCTGACTCTAGTATGCCTCTTCAGATTCAGCTCGGAGTGTCAGCATCTCTGACACTCTCCTGTTTAATCTGTCAGCCAAGGATTCCTGATTGGACCAAATTAACAGCCCAAATCAGGGAACTCAATCTATGATGTCTAGTTGGTTAACCTTGTTACAATCACTATACACATCTGGGTTTACGACTGTCTGGAGTTTGGCATTAGTTTTGGACATTGTTTAGAAAAGTCAAATAGAGAGTGGCCAGCTAAGTGAAACCACCCAAATTATCACTTCCCACTTTTTGAGTAAAACCCTTTTACAAGATCAAGATCAGAGCTGGAAAGACTGATGCAATTCTCCTGAGAAGCTTCTGGAAGACAGCTTCTTGACATCTCCTCAAGGAACTGCTCTAGAAAAGTCCCAGTGACAACTGCATGTTGACACGTGCTCGATACATGCACCAGGGTGCCAGACCAAACAGCATGTGGAACATTTCATATCTTATCCATTCTTCTTCAAATATTAATGATTACTTAGCCAACTAACTTTTTAAAAAAAAGTAATCTCGACAGAGAAACATCCTTTTGTTTTTCCTTTAACTTGTGTGCATACTCATGTTTGTTAGGCAATTTAGACAGGATAACATTTATACATCTACATTTCAAACCATAAATCAGCTCAAGGATGTCACAGCAGAGACCTCTGAAGGGACCAAGATTGGCAAAGGGGGTGAAGGACCAGCACTCATGGTTCTTATTGGTATCAACAACAGATAGAAAGATAGAAAGAAGGATGAGGCCCTGCGCTGAGAATACAGGGAGTTAGGAAAAAGAATACAACCAGAACTTTAGTTGTAGTAATCTCCTATTTCTAATCTGGATGATAAAATAGTGGAATAAGATGCTGGAGAGATAGTGCAGGAGGGATTTACATTCCTAGGACACTAAGAATGGTTCTGGAGAGCTGATACCTGGCGAGTGGACAGTTAGTACCTGACTTTGTGGGGCAATTTGCTATTGATATCAGTGGAGAGAAATAACAGTACAATAAAAGCTAAGGCATGAAGTGGGGTCAGAGTAAGAGGGAATGTAATAAACCTGAAATGAGATTTATTAGTGCATGTATGTGAACCTGGAGTGTAATGAATATAGGTGGTTAGCTGCAAATGCAGGCAGCCATATGGAAGTATAATATTGCACTTATAACAGAGACCTGTTAAATAAAGGATCAACAAAGGATAGGACTATTTGCTAACTACTGATCCATTGAGGAAGAAAGGAAGCATCGCCGAATCTGGTTTCAGCAAATGAGGCGGCACAATTGGATCAAGATCAAGAATAAAATTTCGGGGAAAATGATTGTGATATGGTAAGGTACAAACTAGCTATTAAAAAGGACAATGAGCAGTTTAAAATTTACAACACTTAATTGGGGAAGGGTTAATTTCAGTGAGGTTAGAATAGATCTGGCCCAGGTAAATTGGACTCAAAGAATGACAGGTAAACCTGTATTTGAACAGTGGACTGTATTTAGAGAGACAATGGTTTGAGTAGAGTTAAGATACAAAGAGTGAAAGACAGAAGACAAACTGAGGGCTCCTTTTTTGCAAAAAGTGGTAGGACAGCATGAAAAATAATGAGATAGGACAGTATAATAAAAAAGGGCTTACATGACAAATGTCAGGTTGATTATTTACATTTGAGAACCATGCTGAATATAGCAATTTTTGAAAGGTTGTTGAAAAAGAAATAAGCATAGCAAAGAGAGTTTATGAAGAGAGACTGAAGTCAACAGTTTCTGGAAGATCGTAATCACTGCATCCATTATCCCTGAAGCTATATCTTTAAGAATGCATCGACATAGGCCATTGGGTCAATGGAATTTTGGTCTGTTTATTGTTAATCAAGAGAAAAATAATTTTAAGTTTCTCATTTTCATCAGGTCCTTGATTCCCCACTTTGTTTTTGTTGTTCTATTATGAAGAAAGGCAAAATATTACATCTTTACCATTTCTGAACTCTGAGCTTCTAAGGGACCCATTTTTCATTTAATTGCTCTCCTTTTGATATATTTACTGAGCTGAGCTTTTACCTTTTAATCAGTATTTCTTGTTGATTGACTTCCATAATTCATTTATTTGATCAATCCATGGCCGGTTCCTAAAATTCTCTAATTATACATGTGATTGTGAAAGTTCATTTTGTACCCATGTTCCCTCACAATTAAGTTCTTAAATTAGGCATGTCACTGCTAAATGCAAAGACATGTCAAGCTTTCATCTTAAATGTTAAGTGCAACATATCATGTGTGAGCCAGCAACATGCTAATGAAAGAATTTACTGGTCTATTACATCAGTCTGTTTATATTCCAGTAGGATTAGGTAATGGGGCATTGGGAGGAGCGTAAAAAGAATAGAGGCCTGTCAAATTAAACGTTTTCAAGAAAATTTGCCAACTTGCCCTGAAAATTTATCATTGTATTTCTGCAGTTTTGTATTAAAAAACATACTCGAACAAAGCTAGCAGGAAACCAGGCTTCTTTTTCTTCAATCATGCCCCACCACCATTCCTTGTTGGAGGCATCAAGCACACGAATGACTTCTCCAGCTTTGAATCCAAGTTCCTGATCATCCATTGTAACGTGATCCCATAATGCCTCTGCATAGACATTGTGGCCATCACTTATCAACTACAGAGAGACAGAAAAAATTCAGTTTACAACTGCTTCAATAAATTAAAACAAAATGTCAAAATATGTACCATTTCCATTAGGAACGGAAAAAGTACACTGAGTAGTGCAGTGGCTCAATGATTTAGCGAGTTTGTCCTGCGAATATCTGTAATCTGTGTTATTACCTGGACTCAGGCTGGACAAGCAAAGGGCCACTGAAATTGGCCTCAGGAGTTAGAAACTGGAAAATAGATCTATTCTGTGATTCTCCACATGGTAAACAGCCTGCTGACACTCTTGTGTAAACAAAATAGTTAAGTTCTCGAAATGCTAGAGGGTGCCAGGCATCGGTAGAACAGCAATGTCACAAGTCATACTGTAGGAAGAACACTGGAGGAAAAGAATTTTGAAAATAAAAGTGATTTTGTCTCATTTTTCCATTGTTTATAATACTTATCTATCTCAATTAACTTGTGGTAAGATTATACCCATAGCAAAAAATAAAATGTAATCATACCTAGTGAACCAAAAGTTGGCCACTGATCTTTAGTCCATTGACAGTGAAACTGAAGGTGAACTTGAGCTCGAGCTCAAATGCTATTATAATTCTAGATCTCATACAGTACTGCTCACAGTGGATGCTTTATAATTAAAGAAGCATTATAATGCAACGTCCTTCTAAAGTATAGCTGTCTGTATCCTTGTGTGTCACTAAGGTAGTGCTGTTCAATAGGACTCAGCTGTTCATGAAGTACATCGAGGTCAGATTTATATGATACAAAATACATGCAAAGGATGAAGTGTATCTTACACCTAAAGGCACAGTATAAGCAAAACATATCTCATGTATTGTTACATTTCTTGACAGTTAAAAAGGGAAAAACCTAAAAAGGGAAAAACCTAAAAAGGGAAAAACCTAAAAA